CACTGAAGGCAACATGGCTATAGAGAGTCTACAAAAAAAATATGTGTGAATTTACAAAGGTCACTGTGCGTTTTTATATGTTAATTTGTCGAATATTTTTAGAATCTAAGACATGTACCCATACAACACATGAATCTACAGAAAGTTCGATTCTTTTTTTATTTGGAAACTGGTTTGACTGATTCCCTGAAAAGAACCGGTTCAAAAGACTTATTCCTCCATGAATCAGACATTACTATAATCGATACGGAGTAATTGGGAGCATTGCGTGTTCAGTTTTCTCATATGTTGAGTGCCGTTTGCTCCGTATTTTCATATGTGAAGAACATAATTAGCAAATATATTCAAATCATGCTTCTTCTTCATAAGATGTTTAAAAAACTGTAGCATGCTAAATGATGACTTAGGTCTAGATATGACAAACATACATACCTATGGTTTTAAAGTGGCACACGTACATAGGTAAAGTTTTTAAGTAATGAGTTTAAGTTTTTGTTTAAACCACTACTTCACCAGCACTGCAAAAAAAAGAGCAATGTCTAAGTGTGCCAGATGTGTTTTCCAACAGGGTAGCTTGGGGGGGGGGAGGGGGGGTTTATTAAGCAAAGTGGGAACTTCTTAATACTGTCATAAGATCCTCATACATGTCAATGTATGAATATCATGAATTACAATTTAATCCCTAATAAGAATAACAATAAAATAATAATAATAATAATAATAATAATAATAATAATAACTATATTTGCAGAGCAAATATATTGGGCTCCAAGCCCCAAGCGGTTGGGAGCCCATAAGTTTCCCTCATATTAGGGAATAATAATAATAAAAAAATAATAATAATAATAATGGATTCTTATGTTATTCTCTTTTTTAACATTCAGATTTCAATTATTCGATGGTCACATGGTTCACAAAAACTCTTGATCACCCTGGACATTGTAGTGTCAATTTCTTGATGCACGTGGGATTTTTTTTTGTAATACCACCCTAGAACAGTAGAAGGCGATAACGGTTACAGTGCCACCTCTTCCCTGGCTCCTCAACCAGGGGTCACAGGAGATGTAGCCTCACAGATGAGATTTATGCATCGACGTTTCTCTAAGTTTGCATTACGAGTCCGTTGCATGCAGCCAGTCCGTAGTACTTTTTTAAGCAGAAGTGTGCACCAATACTTCACAATGTGCGATGCTACAAATAATTTGTATTATATATATATATTGCCTTTTTTCCTTCAGATAATCCACCTATATCGACACAGACCACTGGTATCTCAGTGCATTTCGAACAATCAGACACTGGTGATGCAACCAGCTCAGTTCAATTATGCTTCATTAATGATGAACAAACATAAGATCAGTATTTCATTTGTATTATTCATTACTTGATTCATTAACTATGTTGGTTACTAGTGAATTACAAATCATGAACAAAGTAATTACTAATTATCATGTAAAGTATTACCAATTAAACTATAATAACTCCTTTTCCATATATCCATCCATCCAACCTCTAGCTTTCCTGGTGAAGGTCACAATGGCAGCATGCCGAGTGGGCCAGACAAGACCAGAAGCACAGACTCTAGCTCCTTCTGGGAAATCCCCAGATCTTTCAGTGTTTGCTGGAGGGTATAATCTCACCAGTGTGTCTAGGGACTGCCATATTTACATAGATGCATCTCTATTAGCATGTATCACAGACATCAGTAACAGTGTCTTTACAGCCAAATAATGTATGGATGCATTCAAGTATCACAAAAATCAGTGCACAAAACAGAACCTGTTTCACAACTGGTATACTGTATATAACCCACAAGATCTTACTCTGTTATGAATGGTTATTGAATAAGGGTATGCTTACAATGAGGAGTTTCTGTTAACACTTTACTTGAGGGACGACAAATACTTAGCAGTAACTCAATTACTACTAAAGTACAAATCATGAACAAATATAGCAGCTACTTGAGGTAAAAGATGTGTCACGATTCATTAATGATGAACAAACATAAGATCAGTATTTTATTTGTGTTATTCATTACTTGTTCTTTCAGCAATTCCTTCAGTAGTTCACAAAGGATTTAAAGATTAACAAATGCAGCAGCTCCTTGAGATAAAAGATGCATCACAATTCTTTAATGTTGAATAAACATGAGATCAGTATGCAAGTAAGACTCAGTTTGTGGTTAATTAATACATAAGTAAGAGCATAATACTATGTGCCCTCTCAAGTGAAGTGTTACTGGGTTTCCAGAAGATAGATATTGCTGGTCTGCAGTGAAAGTGAGTAATGGTGACAGTTCATCTCAGCCTTAAGCTTTTTCCAGACTGAAACGCTACAATCCACCTGAAAGCCAGGGTTAATTCCTTTCAACCTTGTATAGAAAATTCTTCCATGAACAGTGTTTGCCCCAAAAAGATTTTTAAATAGACCTTCTTATTCCATTTGTAGTATCACAGAAAACATTAAAGACTGGTAGATATTTAAAGCATGTGCAAGAACCCTTAAAATTAATGCCACTGCCTGGGGATTTAAAGTCATTATACCTGAGAGTGCACAGGTGAATAAAAAGCAGATATTCTGTGGCTTTTAGAGAAGAAGCACTGAAGAGATAAAGTAAGACTGCAGTGCTTTCACGTCACATTGCACTGTATCTCACTCGCCACTCGCTGATCAAAAAAAAAAATCCAACTACATGAAGTTTCTACAAAGCACTACAAAGCCCTAAATACTGACAAACATGTTCTGTCTGCAGTTACTTTACTTTAAGTAAACTGCATAATTTCAACTTTTGAAGATGTAACATATCTGTATTTTAATAGATTTAGTTTATCTAAAAATTTCCACAGAAAAAAAAAATGTTAAAATTCAAAAAAATAAATTGAAATTGAAAAGTTGCATTGTTGATGACAGTGATTAATATTTGCATGCATTTAAATGCACAGGCCAGCAGCGGTGGCATTTCCATTGACTAAGACTTTGCACATTTTGAAAATACAGCTGAGAAACCATTAATGGAAACCTTTAATTTCAAAACCAAAATAAACTGCAATAAAAATTTTATGTTTGTTTGACGTGGATTTTGTTGTGTCAAAAATGAAGTACCTTAAACAAAAAAAAAACTGCAACAGAAACAGAATTACAGAATTAGTAAATGACAGTAGATTAGTTGATACTTAGTTCTTCTAGCTACAAACTTGTAGATAGCCAACCTCACACTGAAAAACAAGACATCGCGGGAAGATAAATGGCAAGTATTAATTGCATGACATCCATCCATGGAAACGCACACTATTCACAATTGTACATTGTCACCTTACAGAGAATCCATTTAGGATTTGTGCAAAACCTTACTGGAAACACAGCTAATGTCTTTTTCAGGTCACTATAGCAGAGGGAGAGCATGGGTACTCTGTCTCTCTCTCCCTCTCTGTCTCACGGTGTCAACTTCACCTCAAGGACACCCACTCCTGAGCTGTCCCATCTGGTGAGGGACTGCTGTATCGCCTCTGCTTTTCTCCTCTTGGATAGAACAAAGACAGAAAGTTTCCCAAACAGCTGTCTGCACATGAGTCACGCTGCTGAGGGGGCGGATGGATGGAAACCCTGAGTCGCCTGCATGTACGAGATCAAGACTTGTCTCACAACAATGCTTCAATGTGCTGGGAATCTGCCAACAGAGAATTATTACTGTTCTCTGTCCGTTTGGTAAAACAATCTCTATCCATGTTTTGTTCACTGTGTGGGCACCATGAAATTACTCACAACAAAGACCATTAGTATTATTAATAATATACTCTTACTATAAAGATTCTTACGATAATTTTAGCTAGCTGACAAAAGTAGAATGACCTGCAATATAATAGTATATAGTTCACCGTTGGCTCTGTTTTAGGTTCTAAACTTTCTTGCAAAAATGTGAATTAGCTGTCTAATTCCTTAAGGTTAGCCAGATAGAAAATGATCATCAGTATGTACCAGCAATCTATTTACGAGACTGGAAAGTTAATTAGCACGTCTATGCATCGCTATCTCTCCAAACAGTATATCGGTCTATTCTTGATGTATTTAAAGACATAGCTGTCACTGGGCGTAACAGGCGTAATGCCTATCATATTACTGAAGGCACAAAAAAAGATCAGTCACAAACACCATCAGGGCATGATACATGAGTATTCGAGTCAATAACAGCTGATAGGTAGCTAACCTATTAATAATATTGTTGCAGGATATACTATTCAACTGAATGAAAAAGGCCAAATGAAATGTTAAAGTGTTTCGAAAAGCAGAACAAGTCCTTAAAATACATTTTTTGATCAGCTCATAGTGTTTGTGTCCCATGTATCATACATGCCAACTATAACTTAAACAGCCAAACTTATTTTTAAATCAAAGCACAAATTAATAAAGCATGAAATTAACACCCAACCTAGCAACACATAAAACACAATGCTAACATACCAAACTAGCTAAAATAAAAAGTTACTTTCACTTTCGATTCATAACATTGTAGAATTCCCATTTTAATACGAGGCAGCTAAACACCTCATATATAACACTGTAAATCAAACTAAGCAAAACACAAGATTCATTTAGATATTTTTGAGATTGAGCTGATACTCTTCTTAAGCTTTTGAGGTATGCATCCTTCCTGAGCTCAGCAACAGAACTGCATTTAAAAGTACACAGTTCAAAAATGCACAATGTATGACAGGTATTTTTTAAATTCTACTAAATTTTTTCATACAATGTTACCTTGTTCAATAGTACCACCACGTGTAAACCATCAGTACAGCACAGGTTCAGTTATAAATTCTGGTTTACTTAACAGAATGAGCGACCAGCAGCATTTTTAAAAGTGAAATGGCGCGTGATATTGTAACCATCTGTTGATACATGGAAAAAATAAAAGCACAAGGACTATCTGTCACTTTGCTTCTATTTAAATGAGCGGTTCTGCCCAAGTTTTTTCATTTAATTTTTGGAGCATAAAAAAACCTATGAGGTGAAACGAAAGGTTGTTATTGGTCAATTCACAAGAAAAAAAATTAACGCTAAATATGTGCAATTTAGTTTTAAGGCTCACACATTATTTCAAAATGCATTATTTCTGTAAGGCACAAGAACAAAAAAATCCTACTTGAACTGAGTAGATCACTTACCGGAGGGCCTGGTTCCCCTTTTGGTCCCCAGAGGCCATCATAGTCAAAGGAAAAATCAGCTTCTTCGTAGCCATAGTCATAATTCCCAGTATAGGCATCATACTCCGCTTCATAACTGCGTTCCTCTGAATTCTCCACCTGGATCTGGTTCTCAACAGGGTTCCTGTACAGCGTGCTGTTGGTTTTCAGCAGCACCTGCGTCAGATTGTCGGCCAATCGTTGATGCTGGCTAGTGTTGGCCAACATCAGTCTCTCCTTGATCCAGCTCTCCGGGGTCGTAGGAGAGACTGTGGTGGAGACCTCCTTGGCATTTTTGCTTTTATCAAACGAATGGACCTCTGCGTCATTAGCTTCCACTAATGAAGCGGTACTCCTTACAGCGTTATCCAGCGTAGCCCGAACACCCACATTTGTACGGGATGAGCGGTCTGCCACAGTGTTTAGCAGCATAGCTTTTTCATTAACACTCCTTAGATTGGGATTTACAGAAGTACTGGATTCTGTGGGCCTACTTTTTGTTGGATAGCTCTCGGAGGTGGAGGCCGTTCCATACTGGGAAACATTTCTGTGCTTCCAGGAACCTGTAGACACTGTTGATCTAATCTGGGTATCCAGAAGAGGGAGGTCTGATTTTGGAGGGTCATTTGATCCTTGCTCGAGGGATGGAGGGGGTGATCGATATGTATCAGCCAATCGGCACTGTTTTTTTATGTAGTCGCAATAGTGTGCAGCAGCCTGCGCTGTGGGATACATATCCAGCTGGCATATGACACCTTCGAACTGGACAGCTTTGAGGTTCATCCTTCCGATGGTGAGCTGGCTATCGGGGCCTAGCTCTTGAGGTCTGGCAATCGTTTGCTCACTGTAACGCACGCCTCCGCATTCCGCGTAGAAGGACACAGAGCGTGGGCGCACGCCGATGGCAAACGAATGCCATGGCCCGTTAAGCACATCATATTTAAAGAAGACCGACGTCTTCTCGGTGATATACACCACCACCTTCTTGGGAACCAGCTGAATACCAAATTGTAGTCTGTTCTTGCCGTTTGTGATGCTAACAACGAAAGCATTGTTCACTCGCCAAGCGCTTAAACACACAACAAAGGAGAAGTCATCCCCGATCCCAGTGGGGAAGAGCCCAGTGATGGGACCATCAATGTGAGCACTGCTCCGGAGCACCACACCAGCTCCTGAGAGGAGGAGGCCCTGAGGAGAAGGGGAAGGAGTGGATGATGGGTGAGGAGTCACCTCCAGGGGGTCTCTCTCTTTGCTGCCTGTAAGGCCCAGCGGATAAAGGAGATCTACACCTGCGGAAACGGAAAAGAATAAATCAGACTTTCTCCATTTAACCCCTTCATGGTTCAGCTAGTCCAGGGCATATTTCACCTGTTTCAGTCTGAAAGTGTGATACAGGCATACTACAGGTATTTTGTGATTTGGGGGAATTTAAAGTGGAATCCCTTGTCAAGAATGACATTCATGGCATGGTTAAATGCTAATAAAAGAACATAAAACATAAAAAGAATCACAAGGAGTTTTACCATTGGCATGATGACCGTCAGGCCATAGAGCTACAGATAAATACAGTTTTATCAATATCTGATGCTACTATTAACTTTATTATAGGAATCATATCTGCAGGTGCTTTTTATGCAGGTTTTCAAAGGTCCACTGTGTATGTGTGTTTTTTCGCTGCAGCTCTCTAATTAGATTACTAATTTGAGGACTGATTGGCTGAAGAGTCCTCACACCTGGGTTTGAACAGTTGACCTAAAAGTTATCCCAAAAACTGCATATACACCGGCCCTTTGCAGATAAGATTGCCCACCCCTGATTTAAATGTTGCAGTTCATACATTTTGCCAGTCAGACCCATCAAGTGAAACGCAACGACAAGAAAGCAAAGCAACATAGTTTTGTGGAATCATGCATATTTTTTTTTTTAACCAGTAATGTGCATTTTCACTTATTTCTGTGGAATCTAAAGATTCGGTCATGATTGATGGAGATATTAAGAAATCAACGAAGTTAATGTTGTGCCTATTATGAAGTTTGTGTACTCAAAAGGCTATATGCTTAAACACCCCATATAAAGGGACAGTGAATGCTCTCTCTGAGAGGAGTACATCGATTAATCGATAATACATCGATAATTCACTGGATTAGCCGTGCTGTTGTCGAGGAGAGAGCAGTGAGGACGCGACCGGTCAACCTTGGAGAACTATGCCGGATTGCGAGTTCCACTCCTTTATATAAACGTAGGCCAGGGTAATACTTTTCACTGATTCCGTTTATACATTTATGCCCTGCTGTTTTAACTCCAGAGCTTAATTTTAAGTCACTTTAAAATTACACAGCAATTTGCTACTTTGTACAAATAAGGTCCACTCTTCCAAGTTCCAAAAAAACTGTGTATTTGTAGGGATTATGTATACAGCATTACATTGTTTTCCCTACTAAAAAGGATGCATTAAGCATGAAGCACAGAGCGGTACATGTGATTACACGTAGCAAATAAGCCACCCTAATTCCATCAGTCTCTTGTTCTTATACTCCTTCACAAGTCATTCAAATATGAAACGTTAGCTTCTACGTCACCACCACACAAATGTACGGCGTTGAATGTTTTTCGGTATATGCTGAAAAATATTACTTACTACAAAGTAGTTATTACCTTTTACTATTAGAACATGCCCTGCATGGAAGAATAAAGTGCCTCCTGTTGGGTCACCCAAAATTGATCACTGGTCCCCTAGTTTTCTGCTGACAGGGAAGTTGACCCTTCTATCAATTTCCAATATTTAAGGTGGATTACTGTAATATGCCATAATTAAGGACATTCCACCTTAAAAGATTGAGGGTGGAATGTAAGGGAAGCTAGCTGGAAGTCTTTGGGATAGAGTTCAGGCTACCCCATGTCTATAGGCATCTTTACGGATGTTGATATTAAACCTGCTGTGATTAAATAGCATCTGTGTTGTGGGGGAGTAGAGTATCTGCAGTGGATCTACATGCAGAAATGTCTGTAACGATATTTAGCCTGAGGTACCGTCAGCCTGGATTCCAAGTAGCCTGTTTCCTATGTGAGGTAAAGCTTTTTAACTTTCAACCTACATTCCTCGCCGGTCGTGACGGATGGACTCTGCCTGATCACAGTGAATCAATAAAAATCTCGATTCACGTACAAACGTGCAACAGGGCATGCACCTGCATGAAAAAAATATGTTAAATTATAAATTTAACATATTCTGAAACATACCTTTTGGCAATTAATGACACAGGTATAAATATTCATGATTTAGATTCCTCCATCAGTGTGGCTTTTGCAAGTTTTATAGTGGCTGGTTTTAAATAGTCTTTTTCCCCAAAAATAACAAGCGATGTAAATTGAATGTGTCGAAATAATAAATCCCTAATTCTGACCAGACAAGATATTATGGAAGCCCATTCAATGTAGTCAATGTAATGAATACAAAATATGGAAAACACAATTAATTACAGAAATAATCACAATCCATTCTGTGTACAATAAAAGACTGGTGATTTGACCAGAGAAAGGTGTGCTTAATCGCAGTCCCATTACCAGGAGCTACTGCCTTTGGATGAGCAGACAGACACACAGTACAGTACATACACTTTGCGTTGTGTGCTAAAAACAGCCCGAAAGCCTCCATTGTAATTTATACCACCTGAGTATATAAAAGCAATGCCAAAAAATAACATGCGTCACAAGTTTCTGCACTCTCAATCTGAATGATTAAACTTCAAGAAATGATTTAGCAAAGAGTCAGTATCTGTTAATGGCTCGGCAGGGAAAAAAAAAAAATCTGGTTTTACTTTGACGGCTTCTAAGTGCATTTTGGGATCCGGAGAACAAGAGCGGGCATGCAGAGGTGCTTAAAGAGCCAAAGAAGAGCAGCTCCTGTTTGCGGCTGGAGGCCTCCTGGTCTTCGTCTCACCATAACTCTGCTCCTCTCCATTCAGCTATGACTTACCGTGTAATTACTGACACACCGGTGCACTGGAAAGACATGGTTGCAGAAACTAGACAATAACCAGTGTTAACACTGTAAACAGTTATTTGCTATGTGTAATCACTGGGCAGTGAATACTGCTTTCATTATATTTCCAGTATTTTTCCTCTCTTGCCTGGTTTGTATAAGTAATTTAATCATTTATGTAACTCCCACAACCCTGCTCGGGGTAAGCAGTTGGAAGATGGATGGATGGATTTAGATAGCATGACTGAATTCTATAGATGCATGATTTAAGATCTCCCCACCCTCACAAACCCTAAAATTTACCTCTTCATTCAGCCACAAAAGCATTTATGTAACACACCTACACAACAGAGGCTTACATCTTTCATTCGAGTGAAAGTAATAATTTTACAGCTAAAAGGCTATAACACTAAGCCTGACCGGTTTTATACCAATGTTCGCTTTTAATTCAGGTGTTACACGTGTATGTACTGGTCACCTTCCGAAATGCAGCAATTAAATGGCAAAAATAATACAAAGTTCAGCAAAGGACACAATGCACTGTATGGCGTGTTCCTCTATTACAAAGTCAGGTGTCTGGCATTCAAAGGTCATTGCCCAGGCCCACCCAAGTTCTTCAACAATCAACATGTTTCATCAGAAACAGCCCCCCTCCACTGGAAAAAATGCCTTGTATCAACCCATCACTCTAGTCTGCATCCACGCAAGGAAAGGTCATCCTCATCATTATGGATGTTTCCTGGAATGTTGATTCCTTGTCATGGCACAAATGTCGGCTACTGAATGCGAAGTACCAGCCTGGAAAGAATGCCCCCAATCCACGCTAACAATTTTTTGTTCTAGAAACGTTTAGTGAGTGTTACAATTAAGATAAGGAAACGTTAAAAGTGTCCAGTTTTCCTGATGCTCCCAGAACATCCTACTAATATAACTACTACTATAAGTAAAACTAATAATATAAAAATCAATGAATGGCATGGTAGAGCAGTGGGTAACACTGTGGCTTTACCTTTATAAAAGGTCATTGGTTCATGGCAGGATGGCACGTTCACTGTATACACATGGGACTTTCATGAAATATTTTATTATAAAACAATATTTTTCAGCATTAATTGCTTTAAAATGATCTTCAGGTAATAATGTTATTATGCTGATATTGACAGAACCTTTGTTAAAATGTGTAACATGGAAATAATGTTCCATTAACGTTACAGTAAGAATGTTCTCTGCCAACTTTGAGAAGACCTACGCGTAATGTGAGCTTAAGTTCTGGGAACGTTCCCTGTTAGCTGGGGTGCTGTGAACATGGGACGAGCGTTGGCAGGTAGAAGGTTGGTTCACATGCTCACCTTGCACCGGAGAGTGTCCTTTGGCAAACAGGGCTGATGTGCATATTGTAAACAGCAGGAGGACAGTTCTCCTGCAAAAGGAGGAGAAGCATAAAAGTTAGCGGATGGGCAAATACTTCATTCAGTACGAGTCAATGTGAGTCAGAGAAGGACGGACGGTAATGGATAATGGTCATAAATTACCCATTATTTTCATATAAACAGATACATAGCATAACTTTCTTCATGAAAGTTCTTGCATGTTCTCTCCGCGTTTCTGTGAATTTCCTGCTATATGTTGACCTGTTGTACAGATGAACTATGAGAAAACGTCCCACCTCTGACCCTTAGCATGCACTGAAAATTGGATTAATCCATCAAGTGCCTAATATGTCTAAATATTTCATTATGAAAAGACATGTTCAATAAATTCAAATATGAGAGTCAATTGCAGAAGGTCCTACAATCATGCATAATAACTGGTTCCAAACAACTTATAAACCAAATTTTCCAAATCATAATTAAGTGCAATCCTTGTTGGGTTTCTGCCCTATTCAGTTATAGAAACAACAGTTTAATTTGAGAAGAATGACATTTAAGATTTCCAAATGTGTTGTCCAAAAGAAACATCTCAGATTTATTAGTTTCCGCTTAAGTATGTGATCACTGCACAAAAGACAAGACACACTGGGCTAGCTTTAAATGCGACACACGGGGAACACCACAGACCAAGTCTGGAGCCCTTCCCAACATTGGCTCTGATTTATTGTGCATGCTTCTGTTTTGGTATTTATTTACGCCACACATCAGGCAGCCCCAACCACTGGGCAACCAGTAATTATCCCTCAGTAGCTTTGGAAAACCCACTAACAGAGCATACCCCCAAGGCAGACATTCTTCAATGAGCCACTGTACAAACGTTCGGCCTCATAGTTAAGATACAGCCTTGTTTTTAATCATGAAGACATATGGTTGCTGTTATTTTGGGTAAAAGCTACATGTATGTTAAACTACATGCAGCATACATTTTGATACACTGGCAATCAGTGTCCCGTGCTGAGACAGTGGAGAGGAACTAGACGTAAACAGTGCAAATTGCTTTGGAACAAACAAACGTGTATCAAACATACCCAAGCATAAACAAAGGTCATCCCCAAACATAAATCTGAAATGCTAACCAATTACATGATTACAGTGATAATTGTGACAGCCGAATGACCTTTTTCCAAGCAAAAACCAGAAATGATTGCCATGGTGCCACAAGCTCATGTGAAAAATGCTAATTTATGGCAGTAGTGGCGCCATGCGTGTGCCAAGAATGTACATTTCCTCACCCCAAAACGCCGACTCTGATGAAAGGCCTGTGAGTTTAACGTCAGCAAAATATCATGCGAACGCCATTAGCGCCAGAGGGTGTCAGCCTCCCCTCGTGGCCTCTGAGGGGAAACACACCTTTATCAACCGACCAGAAGAGGCAGATTGCATCTGTGTCCTAACCATAGGCGAACCTTCTGCTCTGAAAGAATTGCAGACGGATCATATACATTTAAACCAGAATACTTGCTGTTGTCAACAGGAGTAATTAAAATCCAATCAGCATCTGTCCACCACCACTTAAAATAACTCTTCCCCAAAAAATTTGAAGGCTTTCATCCATCTTCCTGATCACTTGTCCTGGACAGGTTTCTTAAAAGGTTAAAAGTATTCACAATAGAACTTTTTAGCAAACAGAATTAACCATCCATCCATCTACTAACCACTTATCCTAGTCAGGGTCATAAGGCAGCCTTAAACCCATCCCAACTGCAAGAGACACAATGCAGGGGACACCCAGGACGGGATGCCAGTCCTTAGCAGGGTACACACATACAGAGGTAAATTAAAGACACTAATTTTCATAAATGTCATAGAACTGCGGGAAGAAGTCCATGTAACATCGGGGGAACAAGCAAACTCTACGCAACAGAGAAGCGGGATTCTCAATCCACTGAACTACCACATCAACCCTTAAGGCTTCCAGCTGACAGAAACACACAGCAGTGGCTCAACCGGAATTTGTTCTGATGGGCCACATCCACAGATGCATCTCCAGAGAGAAACAGAACTGGCTAAGCTGGTACAGGTGTTTCCTCAAAGCTTCAGGTCATGAGTTCAGATCCTGGCCCTGTTCGAGTTCTCTGTGTGTTCGGCTACGTTTTCCCCAGGTACACTGGCTTCTTCTTAAGAGTCCTCCGAATTCTGATTTCTATATTACAACCCTATGAGGAACTGATTACAACACCACCACAACCATGACTGAATGAACAGTTGCCGAAACATAACAGACAGATATCTTGCAGATGTGCAACTGTAGAGCCACACAATTACTTCTTGATTTCTAGCGCTGCAAACAACCAAATGCTTAATCACAACAAAAATATATATATAAATATGTAAGACACAGTACCAATAGCATTATTCTGTAATGTATATGTACATTATGACTATTTCTCTAAGTTACATAACACTGACCTATTCCATTGCTTTTTTTATTTTATTTTTTTTTTACAAGCAAGCATAAAAACACCTTCATGTGATCGTAATCTCTGTCAAAATCAACTCAGGATCCAGGAAAGGGGGGGGGGGGAAACTAAATATCATCAGGGTTAGAATAGGAGAAGTATTTTATGTACCTTCATTATATAAGAATAATAAGAATAAGACCAAACGTTGTTTTTTCAATGCGACCCGCTGCAATCCAAAGGAGGGAATGAATGACCTGCATCGCATGTGTGCGGACGACATACAGGTGAGACATTCTCCACGTTACACCAGCAGCCAAGACAGACGCCACCATACAATTCAAAGAAAACACAAGCCACATACAAAACTGCAGACACATATGGTACCACATTACATTAAGACACTAAAGGTAAATGAAGACGTTGAATTTTCCCCAAAGTGTAATATATTACAAAAAATAATAATCTGCAACTATACGTTAAAAAGACTTTTACTTAAAATTTTGAGGTGGATAATCTACTGTATGCCTTTAACATGCAGTAGCCTTGTAAACTATGAATCTCCTACAATGAAATTCTTACGCTCCACAAGGCCCAAAGACACTAGCTAGGCATTGGGCTTGGAGGAGTATCTTAAAAGGCAACAAATCTGCCAAAACCACACAATGCTGTGGCGATAATCGGATTTATGGGAGGGCCATAAATAATCACTATACCTCATTAAAACATTTTTGTGAAGGCTTAGAAAGAGAAAAATTTAACTAGAAAATATTTAGAAAACTGATCATTTTTTTAACAAGATGCAAATGCATAGGAAAAGTTGTTACGCAACATAGATCCAAAAATCCACAGAGCAGCATCTAGAGAATTGGCATTTAGAATTATCCTCACGGGAAAGAAGTGATTTCTACATATAATAGTCAATGCAAAATAGTCACAATGTGACAGTAAAAAGAAGCAATGATTATATGTGGTTTGCAATAGCCAATTAACAATGCAGTAAGACAAATAAGTATCAGCAATTTACCAAGTGTAGCCTCTGTTAATCAAGTATGACAGCTACATTTACAGTAATTTTTTCTTTGTAATCATTTCTAACTTTAAATTGCTTTTATCTAAAATAACAACATCAGGCATGTAGCTGAAAGCATCTAAAACCATGTCACAACAGTCTAGCGTGTGATCATCGTCAACAGTCCACATAGCTTAGAAGGTCCTGGCTGACATAAATTCTTCATTTTATAGTCTTCATCTTCATCTTCATCTATAGTTCTTACTGGGGCTGTAATATTTTTTTCTGAACAACGTTTTCGGCAGTTATATGACATACAGAATACAACACAATTGATCTTAGCAGTTTTATCTCTTTACATGTATCAAGAAATGACTGTCAGTATACAAGCAAGAAACAGATGTATTCCTGACAGGATTACTGTACTTCAGCACACTACAGTTCAAACCTTCAACCCATATTACGGACCTGATTCATAGTAGAGAAGCTAGAGTATAAAACATTGCGTAGAACCACTATAGTTTTCTCTGCAGAAGCTTTCAAAATGGGTTGGAGTCAAGAGGTCATCATAGCCTAAAGTAAAGATTTGCTTAGTCCACAAGACCTTAAGCAGACAAAGAACTATGAGTAAACTTCTACTGAGTTTTATTGGTTCATTCTTTCCAGTCCTTAGGAAGACCAGCAGATGTTTAGCAGAGACACACAACGATAGACTTATGACTAACCCACGATTACTGAGATAAATTTCATTTAATGACCTCTTGCAACCTGCAGTTATGACTTGCCAAGTGTATGCTGATTTCCTGTCAAAAATTAAATTAATTAAAAAGGCATGGTTTTGTCGCTTTAGATTTTAAGACCTATCAGTATACTTTTCTGATTGCACGTTTATACAGCCCATTAGGTTGAGCTTGTCCGCTTAAATATCCAGGTGTACCCTGAATCAGTGAAGACCCATGATACTGTTCCAAGACTTATGTAACACCATTAAACCTTAACTGTTTCAGTCTCTTGAACTGAAATCCTGACATATTCCTTAATTTGTATAATGAGAATCAATTGAATATTTTCGGTATTATACGCAATCCATAGGTATGAATTTTAACTCGTTTTTGATTCACTATCCTGGCTCTGTCACTTCTGTGTTGCAGACACCAAACGCCAAAGAGCGCTTAGATATGGAGAACCTGCGCTTCTTTAAACTGTCCATAAGACAGTTCCCTGTTAAATTATAAACTATATTATTAAATCATATATAAAGGTAAATAGATCTACCATTTTAGCCCTCTTGGACGTCGCGCCATATAATAAAGGGGTTTTTAAATATTCCTATCAATCAATATCCTATAGGTAATCATCTGCCTTCAGTTAGTTCCGATCGAGGAGAAACGAGTTAAAATCTGCATTCACGCTCTTCCTGGTAGATGCAATATTGTTGCTGAATTTTGCTGATATGACTCAGAGTCAGTGAGACACGCACGTCGTCTTCGTTTCTTTCTTGAAACGCGATCTTGCCTTCATGTGTGCGGGGGACGGGGCTGGGCTTTGGGCCAGGATATAGTAAAGTTAAAATCCCAGTTAAAATACGTCTCTTTCTGCAAATGGTGGTTTTTGGTTATCGCATTCCCGTACACGGGCAAGTGGAGGCTAAGTGATGTACCAAAGTCGAATAGTTTGTTTAAAGATAAATTACTTAATTTATACGACTAACAAAGACCTAGCGATTTCGACTAAAAAAAGTCATTCAGAGCAGCTGTTACAAATTTAGATGACAAGTTAAAGAAGAAGCACTATAATCTCATAAATTATTAACACATATATGTGTTAGTGCTTGCAAATTAATCGATTTTATTAAGATGCAATAGAGATATGGGTTAATTTTTTCACGTGAAGTCCCCCCCCCCACTCCAGTTTCATCACATCTGATTTAAAGTCTGATATTTGTAGCCTACTGTAAGTAGGCTACCAGGCATTTGGGGCACTTCTTTGCTGTTCTCATTTCCCTTCAAGCTCGGCTGACAGGTCAATGTCACGACCGATTTAATAGGGACACCATTCGCAGTTTGATGTTTCGTGAGATCGGTGAATGATCCGAGGAGCGTCTGTTCTCTTATAAATACTCAACCGATCGCAAGCACAGTGTTACCGATTAAGTAACTGCAGCCAACAAGTGCTAACAAGTTGACCCTGACAAAAGAGTGGATCAGCAACTACAAATGACACTTCAGTGCTGGAAATATTACAGCTGATAAAGATGTCCCATCTAAATTACATGATATGGCTTTGCTGCAGGGAATATTCATGTTCGGCACAATAATGATAATAATAAAAAAAACAGGCATATTTAGGTGAATTGCTTCGCGTGTGATGTACATGCAATATACACGCAGTACTTACGTTTTTTCTGTGGCAGAAATATTTCCACTCCTTGTCCGTTGGGCTCCTAAATGCATTTGTATGCATTTGTCCAAGCAGCTGAGATCTAGGTGAAAGAAGTATTCCAAGCTAAAGGACGCCGGCTCATTAGCTATCCCTTGGTAAACACCAAACAGGATTTAAGTGAATAAAAAAAACTCAAAATTTCCTCATGGCAGGGGGATATCCAGAATGCACGATTCCCACTCACTGAGATTTTTACCAAACTCCTTTGCGATTCAAAAAAAGACACCGAAATAGTCACATACGCCGCAAACTGGGTGCTATATGTGAGGTTTGTGTGCTGCATGCATTTCAGAAATCCCGTGTTGGTTTCATTCGTTTATTGACACTGAGACGCTTCACGCAAAGCGGACAGCCCCAGATCCGCGCTCTACCTCCAGGCAGTAAAGTCTCTGCTGATGCCGTAACTTGCAGTGGTGCGAGGGGAGCCGTGTTCATCTCCGGCTCCAGTTGGTGTTGAGTTTCTCCCATTACTGACGTGTGACATCACAGATCAGATCAGATCATTGCTGTCCAACCATTAATGCAACCATTCATTCAACACGCGCTGCATGATAATGAGCCCATACGCCGGTTTGACGCGCATATTACATTTTACCAGGTACCTACCTAGATATTGACAGGCTATACAGTTATTTTTCCTCCATGTACCGTAAATGCGGCAGCCAAACGCGTCAGTTTTCACTCTATATTCGGTTCAGTCTGTATTTTTCTCGTATTTGCTTCATATTCACCTATCTTATCCCATGTTGCTCTTCTTTGAAACTTGAATTTATATATACAATTTGAATTTATATATATATATATATATACTGTATATATACAGACACACACACACACGCACACACAGGCACCCCTGGAGCATAGATAGGAGACCAACGTGATCTGCATACATTAAAAATACAGCTAAAACGTAATGTTGTTTACGTTGTAACTTATTTGATAGTTTGCCCTACAACCAAGCATGGTAAATGAAGTTGTGTCGTCACACTACTGTTATTGACATGTACTAGAGAACTTAAGAATGTTTCTTAACTGTTCTATACATAATATGCCGTTTGTTCAGTATAGAATAAAATAAATAAAGGTATATAAACCTTTAAAACCTATAAAAGGAATATAAAATTCCAAAAACAGCTCTTCTACTCCCAGACCCAACTTATGACTCCTACTAATACCATATCCATCCATCCATCCATCATCTATACCGCTTTATCCATCAGGATGTAATCCCATATGAAATACTGAAATAGTTGCGCACAACTTCAGCTTTAGAAAAAGCTAAAATGTGTGGCTCAGTAGGATAAGGCTGCATGTGCATCTGTTGTTGGAATGTTGACAGTTTGAGCCTCTGGTCAGATCTCCGTTGGGCCCTAGAGCAAGGCCCTTAACCAGCCAAAATGCTCTGGGGGGGCTGCATAAATGACCTAAACCTGAGCTCAAATGGACAGTAAGATGGGATATGTGAAAAGAACAATTCCTATGTACTTATGTTTGTGTGAATGGCAAATAAAGGATCATTTCTTTGCATGACGTCACATACCTGGTGCTACTTCATGGAAATAGCTGTGAAATGTAGGTATACTGTACCGGTCCTGTTTCTTTTCTGTGGTAAAACTACAATGGTTTCAATTCCAAGCTGTAAATTTACGTGACCATGTTATAGATGTGCGAAATTATGCTTCTATTATTCCAGGGGACACTTGGGGTGATGTGTGGCTTAGTGTGTCAGGACACAGTGCCTGTCACCGGAAGGTTGCTGGTTCACATCCCAAAGTCTTAAAAGGATGTTGATGTCACTGTTGGGCCCCTGAGCAAGGGATTGTCTGACCCTGCTTTAAATGAAATGTTGCTTAGGGTGAAAGCATCTGATAAATAAAGAAATAGTAACTGGGTGGTTTGGGGGTGTTAATAGTCACTGGCAGTATGACTATACACTTACTACACACTGGTTATTTGTTGTTTGGGCATGAAAGATGTTGGAAGGCCATGGTCTATACCAATGTTTCTCAACCCAGTCCTCAGGCACCCTCAGAAAGTTCATGTTTTTGCTCCCTCCCAGCTCCCTACTAGGAGCAAAAATGTACACTGTCTGGCAGGGTGCAGGGAGGGGGCAAAAACATGGACCGTCTGTGGGCCCCCCCTAGGACTGGGTTGGTAAACACTGGTATAGGGTTATTCCCTAAGTAGATGTACGGTATATTAGTTTGGGTACCACAAAGCCTAATTTCACTTGAAGGAAAATGACAAATATTTCTGCCAAAAATGCTTCTTCAGCTTGGCAAGATAACCACAACTACAGCTCTCCAGGTTAAACACAAGACATGTCATTACAGCATGCATGTGTTTCCATTTTTGCTCTTAAAATGTTGTATGGAGAATTTTATGAAAATAAAAACAGAAAAGATCGTTAGATAGATAGATTTATTGCCATTTGCACAGGTACAGGTCAGTACAAGTACTTTGGAATTCTTGTGCGTATCTCATTTTAAAATATTTTTATAATATTTTTATAAAATAGAGAGACAGAGAAGAGACAATTAAAAAAATATAAAATAAAAATAAATAAATAAAAACAGCAAACACACTAATTGCAGGATGGAGATGCAGATACGGGCTACAGAGTGCATAGCCTGGGTAGATGAGTGAATTATTTCACAGAAATAATATTAAGACAGTATGTTATACACAAAAGTGAAATATTGCACATGTTTGTTAGGCTATTGCACTGAAAGAGTTATTTGACTACCTAAAAGGAAGACACAGAATGAGAGTGAGGTTGTAGTGCCGGATGTGTCTGATTGCCTCTTTGGAGTGCTAAGTGTCCAGGTAATGTCCATGGGGGAAGTGGGGGGGGCAGTATTTCTTACCCACTTTAATATCCTCAGCCATCAGTCTAACTGTGGCTGGGGAAAAAGCTGTTGTAGAATCGTGGTTTGTAGGTGGTGATACTCTCTGGCCTGTGGTGTCTTAAGTTGTATCCTAAGTTCTTCCTCCTAAACAGGCAAAATGCTGGGTGATGTTGATCACTGAGTATGACCTGAGCTTTCCTCCTACAGCACTGTGTATATAATGTGTCCAAAGAGGGGAGGTCAGAGCCTATGATCCTCTCTGCAGTGTTTACAACTTGTTGAAGAGATTTCCTCGATCAGCCTGTGTGGTATTTACAAACCACACAGTGATGCTGCTGGTCAGGATACTTTCAGCGAGTCCTCTATAGGCCTGTGTGAGGGGCTGACGTCC